GCTTTGATGGGTTCACACTCTGTGTCAGTTAAGTGTCCCATCACACCCTCCTGCCATTACCAGGGGGACGCAGCTTGCAAAACACGACACACAGACATGCATGCAAACACATACACAAACACTCTCAAAACCCAAAGTTGAGACAATTGCACAAGAATTTTTCGGTTCCTCTCTCCCTCTGCATCAAGTGGACAAAGCCATTCTTTGCCCATTCTTCGCATATGCCTACAGAATGATATTGCTGGGAGTGAATGGGTAGGTTGCTAAGTAAGAGACCGAACCGTATATGGAGGAGGAGCTTTAGATGCCTGGCAATATACAGCAAAGAACCACAGTGTAATAAAAGAAATTTTGCATTGTTGGCTGGTTTTGTGCATCAAAGTTATTGCACAGATTAAGTGGAGGGTCTCCCCATTACTTCCTAATAGTCTCATGCTGGCAGTACTGCTTTAAGGCTGATTCAAAAGGAGAAGCATAATCCGACACTCCAAGAAGACCTTCTTTTTCTCATTACTGTATTTCTTTGCTTCATTAAGACAACATTCCATTTTCTTCTTAAGAGGTTTTTTTGGGGGGGTGGGGGGTGGGGAAGAAAGCTGGGCATACAGGATAAAGAAAAAGCAATTGATAAAATGCTTTTCCTCGCCCTGGAAGAAAAGGCAAGCAGAGGACGTATTACCCTCAGAAGGTTTTGCATCTTGTTCCATAATATTATTTTCTATTTACCATGAAAGTGGAAGTCAGAATGAAGGGAAATTAAAACTACATCACTACATATATTCCACTATATAAGATCTGATCTCCGATGCCTTCTGAGAACTTAGGTTTGTTTTATCCATTTGGCACATAGTATCTGCAGACAGGGCAATCGGTGCATGTCTGCAACCTGCAGCCCACCATGCAGTGAGATTCTCCACCCACCCACCCCTCACTTTCTGTCTCCTTTTGCTGAATGTGCAATAATCTTGTTGGGCTGGAGGCGCTTTCTAAACCTTTTATGTGATATTGCTGATGAAAAACAAATTGTGTTCTATTAAGAGAATGTAGGTGCCTCAGGGGAAATGCACTTTGCCTCTCCGGTGTTCTTAAACTGCATGGACAGCTCAGCCCGTATTAGCAGCTCCCAAGTTCTTCTGGAGGGAGCAGAACAGCAATATTTAGACTCCCTTGTCTTTTTTTTTTTTTTTTTTTTACTTAGGGAGGGTTTATAGCTCAAAATGGATGCTTTAAACTTTGTCAAGTGCCACTTGTTGCAAAACCTATCCAGGTCTAGTAATAACAGATTTGCTCAATACAATCAACCTTTCAATTTCTCTCACAACCGTGTTATGGCATCACAGCCTTGAATTATATTCTACTAATTCACAGAAGCTTATAAACACCCCAAAAAGATCAGGACTGTGTAGAGACTGCTGAGCCCACATCGAGGGTTGGATCCAAATCTCTAGAAAGAGCTGGTTTGTTCCCAGTTAGCAATGGAGAAAATGCAGCTCCATTCTAACTGGGAAAAGTTCTCCCAAGGTAAGTTTTCAATTGGAGTAGTTGTGGAAGTCATTCATTATAATGCATGAACCTTCCCAACTATCAAAAGTTTCTGTAGAAATTTCTGCACAGTAAAACTCAGGGTTTGCAACTGTGGAAGGCATGTCCGCCTCATATTGGTTTAGGTGTTTTTCCCTGGAGAGAGAAAGAAGGATCGACTGAGACTGAAGAGTTCGTGTTCATTAAGACGACTTTCGGTTTTCTTCTTGCAGTTGACTTTCTCTAAGTCAGTTTTCTAGTCAAAGAAACCTCAATGGATTCAAGCCACAATCACAGGCTTCATTCTTGTTTTGTTTTGTTGTTTATGGATCTTAATCTGTCCTTTAGATTACTCTCTCAAACTTCTTAAAGTTCTCAGTGCTTTGGGCAATCAGACAGAAATCTATTTGTCCACTCAGGATTTTCTGCCAGGATCCTGCATTGTCCATGTTAAAGAGAACTTTCCCCATAGATTCATCACCCAGATATCTGTTGCAGTTTGGGAATTGTAGCGTTTCTCTGAATTGATAGGCCTGCTGGAAAACAGCATCTCTCTGTCACAGTGTTTACACTGACAAGAACCAGAAAGCCAAAAGGTTTTGATCACCCCTACCCTATCTTTCCCTGGGTACAACTCATGCTCTACCATCATTTGTCAGCTAACATAACTCTGTAATGACAAATACGAAGCAATACTTCGCAGATGTTTCTAAGTAGGAATAGTCAAAACAGAATATAAGTCTGTCCTGACTTATCTGCTAGATCTGCGTTCTGACCAAAGTCCAAAGGGTCCTGGCAAAAGATCCAAGGTATTTGGAGGGAATATACTTACTTGGAAATGGGCCTCATTTTATCATTGGGAAACCAATGATGGCATAAAATGCTTTTATTAATTTTCCCCTCCCATCTCAGTCCAACATTTTACTTCCTTCAATGCTAAATGTTCATGCAAAGTAGGGGGAAGCAATAGATATTTCAATAAAGCCATTATGTGCTTATGCATACTGCATGCAATATTTTCTTTTTTAATTTCTACTTTGCTCTAACTCTGTTGCCATATGTATCCTTGCACAGACTAGAGACTGCTGACTAAATCTAGCCCGGTTCATCTTCAGAACTTGAAATGTCGAGCAGCTCTATGATTTATGTATGAAGTATTTAATATACGCAATTTTAAAAATGCAACCGCTCTCCTCCCCCGCACGTGCATTACTAATCCCTGCATCAAGTCCTGAACATTGTGACGTTAACTATTTCTCCATGTGCAGTCTTTGTGTAATTGGAAATGTCCTTTGCTTAGACTGTAACATCTAGGAATTCTTTATTTATGGGAAATTATTTAGAAAAAAATCTTCGTTCTTTTAAAAAAAAATCAAAGCCAAGCACATTCTAGGGAAAGGTCACCCTAAGGTGAACCATTGTTCCAAAATTAGCTCTATGTAAATAATAAAGCAGCATCACCTTGCCAGCTTCCTCCCTGAACATGACTTTCTATGCACAGGTTGGCAGGCATTGAATGTCAGTTTGAAGAATGGCCCCAAACTTTGGAAGAGAACCAGATTCAAAGCTTACAGAATAACAATAACTGCTAATGAAGAGCAGAGTTGCGGATACAGCCACTACTATACTGGTATCCAGCACAGGAATCTTGGCACTGACCACGCCATGTACTTCTCCATACGTACACAATGTCTCAAGACATTTTGCAACGCATATGGACTTGAAAAAGGGGACAGAGGGAGGATGCTTCCTCAAGGATGCTGCTGGAATTTAAGGAAACATTGCATCAACTTGCAGGTGCTCCAAAACAATGGAGCAAGGCGGGGTGACCTTGTTCCCAATTGAGAAGAAAAAGGAAGCAATGTTTAACTGCTTAGGTCAGTGTTTTGCTGGTGGGAAATATTCCTCAGGGTGCCTGTGTCTACAGAATAAAAAGCTCTGCATTTTGGGCCAGCAGGCCTGAGAGTCCTTCTTGTGTTCCTTCAAGGGAATATGAGGGAGCTGCTGCTTTTCTATTGGTCAAGTTGACAGAGAAAAAAATAATGGTGAGTCCCCCTAAAACAGGCCTTGCCCCAAATGTTCCTTGTAACATTTTACAAGGCCACTTCCTTTACCTCCCACAAGCGTGGACATGATACTACAGAACAACATAGTGTCTGAAAACTTAAAAAAAAAATATTCAGAGGCTTCCCTAATCATAATTGTTAAAAAAAACAACAGTGGCCCGGTTTGTAATTTCAAATTGAGAAAAATTGTACTACAAATCTTAGGGTGGGCTTAACGTAATTTTACAAAATATAAAAGGTTATCTACTCACCAAAATAAAAACCCCTATTTCCCCCTCAGAAAAAAATCTTGCCTTGAATCGTCTGCCTAATAATTCAAATTTAACCTAATGTAAAAACACAAACATTCTCCTAATAACTTTGATTTCTCATAAACTGATAGTGAAGTGAAGTGATTAAGGCATCAGGCTAGGAACTGGGAGACCATTAATTCTAGTCCTGTCTTGAGCACAAAGTCAGCTGGCTTCCATTCACCCCAAGAAAGGTGGCGATGGCCAATTACTTCTGAAACATCTGCCAAGTAAACTGCCAGGATTTGTCCAGGCAGTCCTCAAGAATCGGACATCATTGAACAGAAGAATTTTAAAAGGGAGAAATCTATATTGGTTACTTGGCTAAATTTGCCCCCTTTATTCTTGAATAGTGAGGGAGGAGTTATTTCTTAAAAGAGCACAGATGCTTTGGAGGAAGTAAGTAATGTGAGCAATGTAACTGATAAGAGTATTTGTAATTCAGGGCAGAACTGTGGGATCACTGCTGCTCTCTGAGCTTGGTTGTTTTCTTGCAGATATTTCGTTACCAAATTAGATAACACAGGCTAAGCCTTGCCCCTTAGTATCTGCACATGAGGTTGTGATCTAAGTACAAAAGATAATTTCATTTGCATTACAACATCATGGTACACAGATTCTCATTTTCCCTCCTCATGCACCATGGTCACCCCTAGCCGTTTTCCTCGGAGGATTTCGCAACCATTTATGATTGATTATTTAATTAGGAGGAAGAAAAAGAAGTCAATTCATATGGGCAAAATTTATCTTTCCTCTTCTAATTACAAAGCTTTGTGACATGTGGTCCTCTTTAATTACAATTCTTCCTAGCCCCCATGCCCATTGATTAGAAGAAACAACTGAAGACCAATTCTTACCCAAATTTTATGTGATTCACATATATCTCCACTAGGTGTCATCATAACATGTTTGAGTAATAAACATCTCTCCTACTCCTCTCAGAAACCATCAATATGGAGGCCAGCTGCATTCTGCGCATTTGAAGACAAAATGTTGTGAATCAAGAGACATCTTCAGAACAATATCAGAGTGAGCCTCAAGCACACGCGTAGAATGCATGTTGTTGTAATTACCATGTACCACTACTGATGCCAATGAAATCAAATTATACTGTACAACCAGGAAGATCATATTTAAATTTAATTTTTTTTTTCTTAGCTGATCAAGAAAATTGATACTGTAACACTGTAGCAGCAATAGGACCTTGGCATATGTCTTGTTCCTCTCAAGAATTAAAAAGTATATTTAAGATATAAACACAGATCTTTTCCGGTGTCCAACACAGAGGACGGGCAGTGACAGAAGGGTGGTTTGTTACTGCTTAAAATGATAAACAGGCGAAGGCAACTCAGGGGGGGGATCATCTGCTTAGAACAATAATATTAACATCTGCTTAGAACAATAGCACAGGATAAAAATAGAAGGCAGAAGCGATTTTCCACCTACAAAACATTTCCACTTGTTTTGAAATGAGGACCAGAAAAGTGAGATCATAGCAAAGAGCTGCTGGAAAGCAAACAGCTGCCATGATGGGGGAAGGCTATAAAAGAGGGGAGGGAGAATCCATAATTGATTGCCTCTGAGATTCTTGGGGGAGGGAAGCCCCTTTTGCCCATAGCTTCTGAGCACTGGAGACATGTGAACCAGAAATATGTCCTTATAATATATATATTCCGTTTGTTCTGTTGCAGTTGGAGGACAGGATTGAAGCTTTCAGTGTTGCCAGTTCACTCTTCATCTGACGGAGACTCTTATTTCGGCATTTCTTCTGGCTCCGGTTTTCTCCCATAAGCCATCCCAATTGTCCCTAATACTTTTCCCATGGAGAGGAGAAACTCCTCCAATATAAGCAGGACCAAAGGATCTATATTCCGCCACAAGCCAGTCTAGGAATTGAGCCATGGTGAGCAAAAGCACAAGCAGTGGATGAGACAAACAAGCAAGAAACCATAAACTCCAAAACACCTGCAATGCTAACAAAGCCTTTTCCTTAGGTCTCAATCTACCCGGTACAATCTAACTCTGATTCTTCCAGGGCTAAAATTCCCGGTTCTTGTGTTGCTTTCCTCAACTTGTCTGAGACTCAGACATGTATGATGAAAAGCACACAGAACATAATGCAAAAATATCTACCACTCAAGAGAATATTTCTTACTTCCAGAGCAATATACCTGTACTAAAAAACATGCCTGTTTCCTCTAATGTCCTTGGCTCTTTGCAATGGACTCTGCTGTCCCTATGTCAGGTTTTAAACCTCTTTGTGCCTTTTGCTTGGATCTTGATTCAGGTGAAGAAATGCAACAAAATCACATCCACGCTTGTTAGCTTCTTCTTCCCTCTTTTTGCTTCCTGATTTTTTCTCAACGTATTAATGCTTAGTGGTCAAGTTCTCTCTGCTTCATGATTATAACACAAACATAATAAAAAGGCGATGTGTGCAAATACTAAAGAGGAACAAAAGCAAATCTGGCAGATCTTCAGGCCAGACAGCCACAAGGAGAACATTCCACAGAGATTTTACAACACGAGGTGGGATTTATGCTGGTGATTATTGTTTGTTTCTTTTTCTCCCCTCAACAAAGTTTGGTTTCCTCCCTTTGGAAGCAGGGTAGCTCCCTTCCTGTTAACGGAGAGGCTTGCTTAGGTGACTCGATAGGTGGACGTGTTCTTGGGCTCCGTGCTGGGCACACACCAGTCATCTGCCTCCTGGATGGTCTGATAGTGACGCCATGCGGACTTGTTGTACACTGGAAGCCTTTCCACAGAGTCTGTTGACAAGGCCTAGAAGGATGTAACATAGATTAGGATGCACCTGTGATAAAATCACATGCAGTGACCCACCTGGTATCATTGGCAGGTTGTCTGCTTTTATTTTTATGTAAAGCAAATGACCTCTGGAATGAGAGGCAGAATGAGCAAGAGATAAACTTCAGACTGTTGGCCTGAGTGAGTTATTCCGATACCCACTCCACTGAATAATATGGAGATGATCTGGACATTCCTAACCTTTGTGGGGAAACCCAGAAAAAGTTATACTGCATAATCTGTATTTACTGATATATGCTAAAGAAACATTTTGCTAATTTTGCACACACTGCACTGGGAATAGGACCAGCAAATGAGCAGGACACCAACTCACTTTCAGATAGATGACAGCATCTGTTCCAAATCCCTCCATGGAGAATAGCTGAAGATCACCTTGGAAATACTTGGCATAGAGTCTAGAGATTGGCAGCCCATAGCCAAAACCGGCCTTGTTTGTGCAAGGAAAGAAAAATGGTTTACTTGTTGTACATAACACCTCATTGTTAAGCATGTCCATCTATAAGTACCTCAGGAATAGTGCTTCTGAACCTCAGCAACTTTAAGAGATGCAGACTTCAACACCCAGGGAATGCTGGGATTTGAAGTCCATGGCTCTTAAAGCTGCTGAAGTTGAGAAATACTGCTTTGAAGAATTAGTTCTATACAGTCTCTTCTTATGAGCTCTGTTATATATCCCTAGCTTCACTGCCACAAAGCACACAAGGAACCAAGATGAATGTCACAATTGGTGATTCACTACCCCAAACACACCCTCTTACAGAAATATAAAGAAATGAGGGTGACAGGGGATTCCAAATTTAATCTGAGCAATAATTCTGGGGAAGGGGATGCTTAATCCTTCTCTGCCGTTTTCCTGTTTAAATGGTTCCTCAACTGTTGTTTTAGTCTTGTCAAGGAGAAAGATAAAAATTATTAATCTACTTCTATTCTTTCCCCCTTGCAATGGGGTAGGTTCTGAACAATTCATGAAAAAAACAGCTAATGAACTCCCCCGGGTGGGCTGTTCAAAACCAGCATTTTATCCATTAATAAAATATATTGAGAAAAGGTTTTAACTGTTAAATAAGTAAAATGTTGCATTTTAATTATTGTCTTATTTTCCTGGGGTGGGGGGAGGGGGGGAGGGTTCCTTCACATATTGTCAGCATTTAATTATCAATAAATATTTTTTTCCTCACAGTTCTATTGCTTTAACATCAGAACATTTAAAGTGATCCCCACTTTGATGATCTTTCATATCTTATCCCATTTCTGCAGTGATCAGTCTTAATACTGGTGAAGCGCAGATTTCTAGTTGTCGCTTCTTATCCGAATAAGCATGGCAAAGGACACTTTTTAAGGCAATATTTGTATTTTTTTTAAAAAAATCAAGCTGTTCGAAGCCACCTGCCTCGACCTTCCCCACTCAAAAGATTTAAAAGGCTGGTTGTAACTTTAATTGGCTTCATATTCATAACTTTGGCCCATCGTATAACACATACCAGGGGTGTCCCCCCGGTGCCAAGCTCGGGTTTGGGTGCTGTGGAATATAAGTAGCTGAAGAGTCGATCAATCTTGCGAAGAGGAACCCCACCACCTCGGTCACTCATCTGCTCCATGGCAGAAAGATAAAAAAACAGAGAGGGACAGAAATTCTATAAGGAGGGAATGGAGGTAGGAAAGCATTTCATTTGAGGGGCTTTTCTTTAAAGAAACCAATTAGTTAGCAGTACCTAAATGGTCATAACCAGTCTTGAAAAATGAAGGCACCCCTCCCCAAACACGCACACATACAAATGTCAAACTATGGGAAATTGCTGCCAAGAAAACCTCACTGATATGTCACTGAAGTCTACAGATGTTGGGCTTGACTCTAGTCAGACTTCAGGTTTATATTTAAAGAGGTAACTAACAAGTCCAATTAAAGATAAGCTACCAAAAGAAAAGAAAAAAGAGAACCGGAACTGAACTTGCTTTTCACCACCAAGCAAATAGACTATCTGGACCCAGCCTTCTATTTTACAATGAAGCATTCTGCATCCCTATTTAAATTATAATAATTATTTCCACAAGTTTACATTTCCATATCTAATTTATGCAAAATTGTGCAAATTGATTTTCTCCTTTTTTTTTTTCAGTACTGAAATAAGTAAAAATATCTTGCTGTCATGAACAGTCTGACATAGTACAAGCTTTAACAGAAACTAGAATAAAGACTCGAATATAAGGCTCAGAGCAGCAGTTTAGGATTGGTCTGACCCAGATCCAAAGCTTGTTATCAAATTGTTTATGTTGATACCGTTTATTATTCAAACTGCCAATCACAGAAGCCCACAATATTCCTTCTTTCCCATATACATACCATCTAGTTCTAGGGTTTTTTTAAAATTACTTTTATATTCCGGTTTTTCTCTAGGATGGCTTTTTCCAACCAGAATGTCCTCCAAACAGGTGGACTCCCAGCATTCACTACTTAGGAATGGTTTTGCTGCTTGGGAAATTCTGAGGAAGAATCTGACACATTCAGAGGGATGTCTGGGTTGGAGGGAAAGCAACATTTATAATTTTTTCTCCTCTGCTCTATTTTACCCTCACAATCACACTGTAACCTAAGTTATATTAAGAAACAGAAATTGGGTCAAGGTCACCCAGGATTTGTAGATGGGTAAAGATCTCTATCTGGACTTACATAATTTTAGTTGATTCCTTCTAACCACTGCATCAAGGTCACCTTGCTTCTTCTGGTGTAAATGTGAACTGTCTTTCCTGCCACAAGTCATTATGGATGCATACAAAAACTCAGCTCAGGAACAAATAATTTCAACCTTGGTCAGTTTCTACTTAGAGCACAGGTGTTAAACTCGATTTCATTGAGGGCCTCATCAGGATTGTGTTTGAGCTTGAGAGGCCCGGGGTATATAGCCATGGGTGGGTGTGACCACCTCAACATCACTTGTGTCAGGGGCGCCTGTGGTGGCCCGAGTGATCTACCAGCAAAAACAGGCTCCCAATCTCAGTTTTCAACTGGGACGGCCTCCTGAAAAATCTCTGCCAGAGAAAATGGAGCTGGGGGGGCGCACCATGAGTCGGTCCTTTGCTGTTTTCAGGGTGCCCCTGCGGGCCAGATCCAGCCAACAGGCCTTGAGTTTGACAGCCCTGAATTAGAGGCTATCTTGCTATTTAATATGACCATGATTGAAACATGAGTCAATAATTATATTTCTGTTCCTTTTCGTTTTCTCATTTTGGAGAGAAATAGATGTGAATGGTGGAGAAGCCTTCTTCTCCTAGAAACTTGGTCTTTGAATATGAAACCAGAAATTGTTAAGAAAACTTTGAAACAGAGGGATATTCTTTTACTGCCTAGCACAGTGGTCGCCAACTGGTGGGCCAGGGACCATTGGTGGTCCACGAGAAAACTATGGTAGTCTGCAGAGAAATGTCACCCCAAAGCACCTTCCAAAGCAATTAATCCAGGCTGCACGGGAACACAAGGCTGCACTGCCCACATGGCCCGTGGGAACACAAGGCTTGCGTCTCTTGCACTGTGAACACCACGAGATAGTGAGGGGAGGGGGAAAAGGGCAGAGAGGGGGACTTGTCCCACTCACCCCATGTGCCTCGCCTGGTCACCAGGCTGCTTCTTTCTGCTTCTGCTTTTGGCTGCATGCAAGGAAAGCAGCAAAAGTCTTTCCCTCCCTCAAATTCCACCAGAAATGAGTCTTTGGGACCCTGCAGGGTATCCTGCTCCAAGAGGCTGCACCATTCTGGTGGAGTTTGGGGGAGAGAAAGAAAGACTTCTGCTGCTTCTGCTGCTTTCCTTGCATGAAGCCAAAAGTCTCTCCTTCTCTTTCTCTCCCCCTGAGAACGGAGTTGGAGACGGTATCCTGCAATCCCAAATAAAGAATGATAGATTGGTAGAAAAACAGGGTGGAAAATTTTCCTGCAGACTTTTTTGGGGATTTTCCCAGGGTCTCTGCTGCTTCTGCTTTTTCTGCAGAGACCCTGGGAAAATTCCCCCCAAAAGTCTGTAGGAAAATCTCCCACCCCATTTTCCTACCAATTGATCCTTCTTTATTTGGGATTGCAGGATACCGTCTCTCTCTCTCTCTCTCTCCCCGAGAATGGAGCTGAAAAGTAGGTTAGGAATGTGGCTGCCTTGGAGGGGGTAGGGGTGTGTGAGGAATCTCTGTGCATGTATGTGTGTTTGTGTTTGTGTTTGTGTGTGTGTGTGTGTGTGTGAGAGAGAGAGAGAGAGAGAGAGAGA